TATAAGTAGGCTATATATTGCAGATATTTTGAGTTTTTGAAGTTTACAAAATAAAATCAGATTTTTATATTTGTTCAAGTATTATTTATATTTCTACACAAATAAAAATTATATAAAAGGTAACGATAGTTTCTAGTTTCGGTTAAATAAGCAGTTTGGAAAAGACATGGCGCAGCTATCTGTTTGACCACTCTCTTGTTATTTGCTCTCTAATTATAAAAAAAAATATGTAGCGCCATCTATTGATTGTAAATGTTTTTAATACTGATGAAATTGTAGAACTGAAATTTAAAAACTATTTAATCAATAAACAAATCCATATTATATTTAAAAAACTGAAGATTAATTTTATTTTTCCAGATTCTTGTTATATTAATTTCTTCAATTTATTCGTTGTTTAAAATCTGGTGTATTCCCAAGACACCGCACGGTCGTGTAATACGAATTCCTGTTTGAACTTTCCAAAACATAAGATAACATTAGAATAAGTGAATTTACTTGAAATCTGTAAATTTCCTTTTAATAATTCTATTTATTAGAAAATAGAAACATTTTAATTTTTAAAGTGAAATAATTCAACCCAATTATTGTTACGAGTACAGTAGAGCTTCGAAAACTCAGCACTCGATAACCCGGCACTCCGGATAACTCGGCCACACCCTAGCAGGGCAAAAAAATCCTTAGTTAATTAATTTTCATTATAGGCAGCTTTATGCCTCATAAAGTATTTTTCTGGGGTCTGTCTTATCAGGTAAATTACTATACACAGTGTATTCATTAATTTTCATTTTTATGTAGTAAAGGCTCTATGCCTTCATAAAGATCGTACTTTTCCTTTGTTTAAGGGTATTTGGGCAGTTTATTCTCTGTTGTATTCTCAAGTAAACAATATATACAAATACAGTACAGTATTTTCTGAGGAAACACTCATACTTAGTTTTTTAACCCCATTCCCGATAACCCGGCATTTTCACAAACTCGGCCACCCTTCGGTCCACATTAGGCCGAGTTTTCGAGGCTCTACTGTATAACTAACGCGTCACGTATTTGTCAAAAGTAACCAATTGTTAGAATGCATTGTTGAATGATTCCATTGTTCGCGTCGTTTTGATGGAGGAGAAAATACGGAATCGCTAAGAGAAGACGAAGAATCGTTAAGCAGAAGTCGGCCCGCTCGGAGGTAAGTGTCTCCTTTTGAATTTTGAACATTTCCGGGACAATTTTCGTTAAAATTGTGAAATTTTTTCAGGCAAACATTGTTCTCTGAACAGAACCGCGAATAAAAGACGAAGAATCGTTAACGTTAAACATCGTGCGAGTTAAGTGTGAGTTAGGATGAATGAAACTGCACAAGTGATGTTAACCCAGTGGCGTACCGTAGTGAGGGCGGCAGGGACGGCCCGCCCCCGGGCGGCACTTTCTAGGGGCGGCAAAATTTCACAATAAATAATAATAATATCTTGTAAAAATTTGAGACATCCTAATCTATACTTTTTTTTTTTTGTTTGTACGATTCATTCGCGTTTATATACACCACTAATATCCAATAGAACTATATTAAACAAGTCGCTACACTACCACCGAATTTTTCATTGCTCTTCTGTAACAAAACTGAATTTCGGTCTTTTAAATTGAAATACCTAAATAGGGGGCAGAAATTTTCCTCCGCCCCGGGCGGCTGACACCCACGGTACGCCACTGCCAAGTAGTTTATTAATTTGCATTTGTATATTAAAATACATATACATACACACGTTTTTCAGGTAATTTTACCCAAGTCCAAGCCGATCAAAATCTGCGGATAGCAGGAGCACCCGTACAGTACAGTACAGTACAAGTATGGAACTTAGGGCATGTGCTTCCCTTTGTCGTAGGGATGCCCTTTTTGTTAATTCCCAAGGGACCTCTAAAGTTTCATTTTACTTTTAAATTAGTTATTCATTTTTATTACAGAAAAATTTTTTACTAGTGACCAAATTAAAATTAAAATATTTCTATTAACCGAAAATTATTCTAGCGGATCGTGATTGTTTGGTAGAGTTATCGAGTTACCATTGTATTTGATTAACGTGATTTTGATATACGCTGTAGCTTCGCGAAATTAGTTAACTGCGTTAATGGCATCGATACACAAGTTACCATGCCAAATTTAGTTTCTTATTCTTTACTCCATCTTGAGATATTAAATGAAATTGACTCCTCCCACACACCCACATATCCACGAAACTTTTTTCCATTTAAATTTGTTTTCCTTTTTACTTTTTGAGTTCAGAAGGTCTCAAAACATGGAAATTTGCAAAAAATCAAGAGGGTCAAATTTGACCCCATTCTAGTACTTCCCCTTGTTATATATAATAGCCCGGAAAGTAAAATCAATTTTTTGCAACTTATAAAATGAACTGTCCCTTTTTATTTGCAAACCGATAAATTTGCATGCCGTTGTGTTTTGATCTGAATTGACAAATCATTTTGTGTTCCTGCGAAATTTTTGTTAAATTATAAAAAGCTGCTATTACGAACAGATTTTATAAAGGATTTAAAAATAAGTCACGTGTGTATTTCTTTTGTTGTAAATAAAAAAATTATTCGTAAATAATAATCAAATTTTAATGATTTAAAACTCAGAAATTTTTCGTTTTTATTCATCGAAATAGCGTTCTTGTAAATTCATTTAAATTGTTGTCAGTTCTTGTTTAATCTCATTTCTTGAACGCGTACTTCAGCCATATATTAATGAATATTCACTCATTTTTCAGGCGCTATAATAATCCGTTTGGTGTAATCCTCTTTGACATTGTACACATCGAATGATTTTGTTGGTCTTTTCATGTTGTTTCCCGAGGTTACGTAGTCCTGATAAAATTACTTTTTTCACACAAATGACATGGCGTAATAACTAGTCATGATTTTCTTGATTTCCTGGATTTGTTTAATTTGGCGTATTGGAAATCGTCATATCGGTATTGGACATCGATGATTCCTAATCTCCGTGGCACACTTAAGTCCTACAGAACATATGGCCGCATGTTAGTGGTCTGCTATAAATATTCAAATCAACAAATAACAGAAAATTCACGACTTCTAGTCTATTCTACAAATGTAAAAGAAACTAATGAACGATATTTGTCCATTATCACATGCAATTTCGTCGTATGTTGACCAAGTTAGCCCCGATTTCAACCAGTGCCACCTTGTGGGAGCGCTGATACATCAGAATCACATCACAGTTTGGAACTTCTTACATAATGTATGATGCCCTTTTTTACACTTTCTATACTCTTTTTTTATAGTCTTTGGACGCTGCTGACTGCACTTAACAAACAAACCAAACTATAACGATTTCAACGATCGAGTGAATGCTTATGAGATTAATTTTTCTCTCTCACTCGTCAGTGTGAATGAAGTAATGCTTCAGTCGTTGTCGCTGCGATTATACTCAATCGGATAAAACGAGTAAAGGAACACACATTGAGGAAATTCCCACACACGTTAAGGAAATCCTTTGAGGAATAACTGGGCAGGCCTGACCTTGAGAAATTCCTGTTAGTGTGTGGGGGAAAACTGTACAGGCCACCGGAGTAGAAACGAAAAACCATTTGATTTTCGTTTCTACTCTGACCGTAAGTTGTGTGTCGTCGTTTCCGTTCAGTTGTGAGGCCGCTGAGTGAGAACACTATCCCGAGAATGTTTAGAAGAATTTTTTAAGATTTACGAAAGTGAACCATGCCTTTGGCATGTTAAAAGTAAAGATTATTGTGACAGAAGCAAAAAAGAAGTTGCCTATTTACGTTTAATTGAAAAATTGAAGGACATTGAGCCAAATGCTAAACAAAGAAAGTGTTGTAAAAAATTAATAATATTAGGAGTGCATATAGGAAGGAAATTAAGAAAATCAAAGCATCAGTCAAGTCAGGATCAGGAACTGATGAAGTATATGAACCAAAGTTGTGGTATTTCAAAATTTTTTTTTAATGATTGGTTACACCAATCATAACAGATTTAAATACGTTTCTTCGTCCATTCTCAAATAGTTGTGCCAATCTTTAGGTACTAACTTCAATTCTGAGATCAGGTTCGTATGGGAATACGACCCTTTTTTTTTAGCCACTCTTTACACCACAGATTTCTACGCACATGTTTTTTCTGCGAGTTTTAATACAGTTTGTTGCTAATAAATATCCAAGAACAGCCTGTACGTCCTCATCAGATGCCATGATCGACTGATTAACTGGGAGATTTTCCTCCTCGTGTGTGGGCGATAGGAAATTCTGAATTTCCTCAAGACCAGGCCTGCGCAGTTATTCTTTAAAAGGATTTCTTTAACCTGTATGGGGCCCCCTTTAGCTTTAAATTCTCGTTGCGTCGCCGAAAGTTGCGACTTGCATTTGATAACTATTGAGACAAATTATTAGCGATTATGATTGTCGCAATTTTTTTGTCTATTCTCGCAAATCGCTGGCTACGCGAAACCGCCTTTAGCGTTAAAAAAAATACTCTGATTGAACTACTAAAAATTCTTTCAGTGGGAGGAGTCAAGTATTGGTTAGAAGTGAATTCAGGGTCGCATAGTATCTAGACTTAACAAGAATTCTGCGTTAATGAATGTGGCTTAGGATTACTTGTTAGGTTTTTTAACGTCGTTATCCCGAACCAGTTTTTGCTTTCAACTGTATAGCGGTTGACACACTAAATATTCTAGTCACTGTAGTAAAGCCATCAAAAACATTGGGCATAATTTATAAGTTGTTATTTTTCTACGTTTGAAATAAAATAATTATTAAATAAATTCAAACTAAATATCATTAATTAATTTATTTTTATTCTAAATGAAATAATTTTTATATTTCTAAAATATTATTATTATTATTTAATTAAAATTTTTATTTTTTATCGTAATAAAAATAATATTTTTCAAATATTATTCAAGATATTATAAATATATTTTAAACGCTTTAAATTTAATTGTTATATATTATAAAAGAGGGCAGCACTGAAACAAAACAAATGCATGGAAAACATTAAAGGAAGGTATTAGGCACGAATACGCAATGTTATTTTGCTTGTTATAACGTGATATAAATTTATTATTGAATTTATTGACTCATGCTGACGCAGGAATGCTCTCTCGTTGTTGTACATTTATTTTAGGGTAGTTTCTCTTTATAAATGGATAACGATAGGTGAGTATACATTTCTGAATCAGCTGATTGTTACTGTTTAGTGATAGTGAATAGTTTCAATATAAAATTTATTGTTTTTTTTTTCATTTAATCTATTTATATAAAACTTCTACCTAAAACTTTATGTATAATACTTACATTACTTATTTAATGTACATAATAAAATATGAATAAATATAACAATACTTATTAAAATTTTCATTGAAAGCTTTCAATAGATTTTATAATTAACACAAATATAATTTCTATGGTAATAGTTAGTAACCAGTTTGTCTTTTAGAAAAGAACTAGCATTACTAATTAGGAATTAATTGTATAAAAATTAAACTTTAATTATTTTAAATTGCTGTTTAATATTGTCTGTGTTTTTAATGTATAAATGTTTTAAATTTATATGATAGATAAGCTAACTTTATCAAATTACTCTAGGCTGAATTTCATTACATTGTAATTCTTCTATTTAAACTTAAATATATCTAAACTATTTAATATTATAAAATTATTAAAAATTTTAGATTTGTTTTAACAGCAATTATTTCTAAAATGTAGCAGCATATAAACTCTCATTATTATTATTTTGAATTGATCCTTTAATTATTATTTTCTATTGTATATAACATAGAATATTAACCCAGGAATCTTCTAGTAAATCAGATATTATTATAACAATCATTATTTTAATTTATTTTTTTTTTTGAGTCTATTGTTTTGGAATAGCAATCATGTGTAATGACAGACTTAATAAACTAATCATTTCAGTAAACTACTAACATATAATTTATCCAATAAAATTATTCAATTCACTAAACATGACCCATAAACATTAACTTGGTTTTGGATTACTAAGGTCATTTAACTGATGCTATGGGTTCTGCACAATCAACAGATTTTTGGCAGTTATTCACCTTGAATGATTTCAGGTATGATAGCATTATTATTTTCCTTCTTTTTAATATCTTAATAATATAGGAGCAAAATATTTTTCATGTTTTAATCACCTGGATAAATTTAAGGTAAGATTAATTAACCATTAAAAATACATTAATAGTAATTATTAAATGTTCATATCTATTATCTGATTACCTGAAATAAATGTTATTTTTATCTCTTAAGATTTACTGTATATGTTTAAACAACACCATCACTACTAATAGAATAATTGTTAAATACAGTATACTGTATATAATTTTATCATTAACCTATTTATAATTCTATAATAATTATTTATAGAAAACATTGTCTAGTAGAATGTAGTAAATTTTTATTAGTAACATATCCCAATAAAACTGCTGTAAAACTCAAGAAGTAAGACATAAAGGATTTATTTCAGCTAGCATTAATGATATCTTAAATAACTTGAAAGATGACCAGACTGTCCTAAAGAAAGACTTCTCTGGTCTTTTTTTCTTTCCACGTTATTTTCCTTATCTGATTTTGTTTTTTACGTGACATCTCGGTAAAACACATCATCGCGAGGAATTGCTGTAGACAGCTAACAGAGGTCATTGTGACTGCAGTAGGAATAGCACTGGAGTAAGTAGGATTACAAATTTTTAAATTTCTCGGTCAGCTTTCCGCCATTAGTAAAATAATTTTCATTTACTTATTAGTAAAGTAAAATGCTTTAATTAAGTAATAAGTTTGTTATTAAAACTTGCACATAATTAGAAGAGACCAAAAGAAATGACTTTTCTTCATTCAATATCAGGATTAGGATTCAGTTTCAAATATTTAAGTATTGACCTAAAAAACTGTGATTATTCGTTATCTTTAGGCCATTTCATTTTTAGTATCATAATGAATTAAGCAGTCAGTGTAGACGTTTTAAAAAGTAGACACGTCAAATTGGAGAAAAAAAAGTGAGTAACGTAAGCGGTAAAAGTAGAAATGTCCTTGAAACGGCGTTACGATGCAGTTGATTTGGTACGTAGAAGTTGGTATCAACAATATAAAAATTTTCCGCTGCAGAAAAATCCTATTTAATTTATAAAAGACGTGTTTTAGTAATATGCAGGAAATAAAAAAATTCGTGACTAATCATCGCATTGTTGATATCAATTGTATAATTGACCTATTATGTTCTATTTATGAAAAGCTATTCTCTCTACGTCAAATTTATAAATACACTTAACTATAAAATTTTGCAATATATATATTTATTCATTTTTCGTGAGTGTGTACATGTACACGCCTTTTCGTACTGGAAATTTTAGCTTTAAATTGCCATTTTAAATATCTTCAAATTCAAACGAATTTTGATATTTAATTGGCATTTAATTATTCAAATTAATATTGTTTGTTGATTAATATTCAGTTTCTGAATATGAAAAATATTTTTTTTACATCTTAAAATGTGATATCATTAAATATAAAAAAAATAATACATTGCAAATAAACTGTTGCTTTGTATATAACGAAAAATGATGAGCAATCTCTAATTCAGTAAATATTTAATTTAAAAGTATTTCGTAATTTTCATTTATTTATAACATCAGGATTTTGAGCTCGGGTATTTAAATGTGAGTAAGCTTTTAAAAAAATTTTAAATTTCAAAATTTAACACTAATCATTCGGACTGGCCGACCTCATTGTAGGTCAGTTCCCTTCAATGGGTCTGAAATGGGTCTTGTTCTCAATGGGCAAATGTCAGGCCATATACAGTAGCATATAGTAGGCTTACAATGATCTCTATCTCATGGCAAATTTAAAATGTTGATCGATTTTATTTCTAAAATCGTTACTTATCTTGACAATGTTTTTTCAAACTATCAGCTTTAAATTTTATGATAACCAGATAAAATATGTGCGAGGGTTTTTAATAAAAATCAAATAATTTACTAATTATCAAAGTTGAACTTTTGATTAAGAAATTCGATACCAATTTCTTGATCAAATCCTAAACTGAATATAAGCTAATATTCGTTATAGAATTCTGTTTTTCCCCCACAAACAATAATAGATGATTATCTTCTATTAAATTTTTTAATTATTTTAAGTCTTGTTGTTGAACTCAGGACAGGATTTACTCACAAGCTACAGCTTAGGGCATCATGCTACGAGGCTATTACAACTTAAGGCCTCACGCTTTTAAATTTATTATTTAATTGACAGAAAAAGGCTTCTTATATATTATAGCTAAGGGCCATAAGTTTAAATCAGATTCTGGTCGAGTTAAAACGTATGAACGTGAGATATTTTTAGTACCAAATATCCATGATTCTGAGATTGTAGAGATTAAAATTCTTCTTAAGATTAGTTGAAATTTATTGACATTCTAGTATAGAAATAAATGAATTTTTTAATGTCGCAATGTTTTTATAGATTGAAATACAAAAGAATGTTTTAATCTATAATTAAATATTGTTTTTTAAAGTTATATTTAGTTTAAAAAAATTGATACTATAATTTATTATTGTTTATAATATGTTTCAGCTATTGCATTTAAAATATATACAGCCTATATATTTAATATAAATATTATAATTTATATTATTATATATTGAATAATATGCATCAGAATATATAAATATATATAAACCAGAATGTTGAAAGATAGTCAGGTTGACATGAGAATCGATGAGAAACAATTAACACGACATTGATGAATTTAGAATAATTTTTGCTTTGTATTTTTCTGTTTTAAAACATGCTTTGTGTATGACGAAAATTATAAATGATAGTTTTCAATTGTTACACGCGAATTCGACTTTCCACAGGTTAATAAACTATATATCATGTCAAAAATTACAAAATCACTGAATTCTTTCACAATACGAAGATGATTATTTATAAGAATGCATTCCCTTTATTGTTACATCGTGATTCGGCTTACGCTCTTCTGAATATCATGTAAATTAAAAACAGTTTCACAAGATAAATTATCATATAAAATATTTTTTGTATGGCTCGAAAATAATACAACCAATTGTAGCTCAAAAGCAAAGCAATAGACCTATTGTATATGGAACGAATGCCTGATTTAGGGTTATGAGCGCTGCAGGCTGCTAACATTTTGTGCGCCTTTTTTTCAAAAATCATATTTCCGCCTTTAACGTAAATTATTTTGTAAGTTTGTAATAAGAAATTACATAATTTTAGTGGAAACTTCATCAACACAATATTTTTTAACAGATTCTCCAAAAACAGGGATTAAACGAAAAATTGTGTGCTCTAGGCTATAGCCTAGTCAGTCTGTTTGGTAATCAGGTAATGTATAGAACTATAGAAGGAGAAATGTAAAAAAGACAAAGAAAATGATCTTGAACAGCCATTACTAACGTATCAGGATTATTTGTTTTTTTAAATGTTAATATTCATTTCACATTTAAGTTAATCTATTCTTAAAATTACAAAAGTTTATAATAAACTTTTACAAATGTAATAAAAATAGCAGAATTTAAATGGTTGTTTATTTTTGGATCAAGGTATTAAACGTAAAACTTGCATTCATATTTATAGTTAAAGTAAAGAATATAACTTTATATCGAATTTAAAATTTGTCCTAGTGCTCTATTAATCCCGAACAGGTTTTACGTGTCCTTCAAAGATCTATCGTTCATAAAAATAAATTATTTTTATATTAGTCGTTTAAGTAAAAATAATAGTGTCTTCGCATTTTAGTTTCGAAAAAGATTACTTTCTCATTATAACAGAAACAAACGTTTACAATTATTTATTTCTCTTTTTATTTGCGTTATTTCTATTTTCAATGGCTGACTTGTAAGATCTTAATCTTTTCCTGCCGCTCTAATACTATTCTTCGTCACTCGCTCTTCGCTTCAAATCATCCATTCAATGAATGATCTTTCTTTCGATTTTCTTTTATATTCTTCTAGACATTTCCGACAGAAGTTTTTTCATCCCTCATTCTAGTTTCGTTTGAAAATTACTATTGTCTGTTCTTTATTTTACACCGTAACTTCATCTTAAATTGTTTCCTTCCTTTATATTTTTCATCTCATTTTTCTTATTGGAGCCTCTGAAGAATTTTTTTCTGTAACAGTTTTTTTATTTTTAAATTTTGAGCTTTGACAAAATAATGTTTTTTAAATTGTAAATTATTATAATTTTCAGCTATTTTATTTTATGCAATTTTTATTAGCTCTGTAACAATAGATTTAACTCCCCCCGGTCCACTGGAAATGATTGTGTGATGAAACATTTGCATTCGAATTCGATTCGGATTATCATTACAATGTATCAGAACATCATCTCCTGTACTTGTAGATCCCATTTGTAGAGCATATTGACTAATTTAAATTCATGAAAGGAGTTAAAATTATTTAGACTAGTAATTTATAGCGATTGAGATTTGTACTGTCGATGAGTAAGGAGAAAACATTAGTATTTGCATTTTTAAAACAAATTTTAATGTTTTCATCTTACTCATCGACAGTACAAATTGACTATGACTAATTTAGTTTCAAAACTGATCATTCTATGTAGTTTATTGTGCGTTTGTTAAATTATTTACCAAATTGATTATATTATAGAAATTATCCTAGCATATGGTAAGCTGTGATCATTACCTTGAAGTTCTGTTAAGAGTAATATTTTAATAACATTTTAAATTATTCTTAATAAGTGGTATTAGTTTAGTGTGGTTTGTTTTAATTATTGAATTTAATGACTGATTAGTGTAATAAACTATTTTAAATTGATTGATAAATTTAGTTTCAAGATTTATATTTTCATTTTCGAATATTAAAACAAACATTCAAATTAAAAAAATGAAATTAATATGTAATGGTATGTATTGAATTTTAATTGAAGCAGTCGAAAATATATATTTTACAACATTTTACCATATAAACAAATATTTTAAAGATTAAAAGTAATTTAAATGTAAAATTTATGCGAAAAATTATTACGCTTCGAACCGAAAATAGGTCTAATAATTATCTTATATAAATCATATCAT